CATAAATAATTTTTTATTATTAAATATTGTATATTTTTCAATGAACCAGTTGATCTACTTCATTATTGACTATAAATCTGCATTAAACTATTTACATGAAGAATTATTTATTTCGAAAATAGTTAATAAAATTTGAGAATTCCAAACTAAAACATTTTTTCGCATTTGCCATGTAAAAGCACTAAGAATCAAATAATATGAAGGCACTGCTGTAAGCTGTAAATTGTACCTTATACCTGCCTTACTTTATGACAGACATAAAACATTTGTGCGGTATTGCCTTTCGTTTTCTCTTTCTTTCGTTTTCATTTAGATTTTTTACTTATGCAGGGTATTCGGCCACCCCTGGGAAAAATTTTAATGGGAGATTCTAGAGGCCAAAATAAGACGAAAATCAAGAGTATCAATTTCTTCACTGAGGCTTCATTAAAAAATTATTAAAAAATTAAATTAAAAAATTTCAAATCATTCTGAAAAAATTATTTTTGGTTGCGGGGCTCAAATATAATCATTTTTGGTGAATACACATACCTCCGAAATCCGACGTGTTTTTACCCTTGTAATTAAACGTATAAACTATCAGTAATAAAATTCGATACTCTTTTGGCCAACTTTACGGGATTTGGGACCACTGTGAAAAGGCGTTAAATTTATTAGTTCAACCGGCAATGATAATAACAAAATCCAGCACAGAAAGCGACATATCTGATAATGAATATGATTCCGATGATTCTGCTTGAAACTTAGCAGTATACAGGGTGTTCGGCCACCTCTAGCAAAAATTTTAATGAGCGATAGTAGAGGCCAAAATAAGACGAAAATCAAGAATACTAATTTGTTGATGGAAGCTTCGTTAAAAAGTTATTAACAATTAAATTCAAAAATTTCAAATCGTTCTGGAAAAATTATTTTCGGTTGCGGGGGTCAACTACAATCATTTTTGGTGAGTACACATACCTCCGAAATCCTATCTATTTTCGAGAAAAAAAATCGAGTAGGTGCTGAAATTTTTCGGCGAAAAAAAATTTTTCAAATCGTTTAAAAAAAATTATTTTCAGTTGCGGGGATCAATTACAATCATTTTTTATCATTACACATACCTCCGAAATCGTACGCACTTTCGAGAAAAAAATTCCTTACTGAAAATCCAATTAGGTGCCTAAATTTTTCAACGGAGAAAAAAAATTGCAAATCGTTGTGGAAAAATTATTTTCGGTTGCGGGGGTCAATTATAATCAGTTTTTGTCATTAGACATACCCACGAAATCCTGCCCACTTTCGAGAAAAAAAATAGAGAAGGTGTGAAATTATTCGAGAAAATTAAAAAATTGCAAATCGTTGTGGAAAAATTATTTTCGGTTGTAGGGTTCAATTACAGTCATTTTTGGTGAATAGACATACCCCCGAAATCTTGCGCATTTTCGAGAAAAAAATTCAGTAAGAGCGGCACTTTAAACGTTAATAACTTTTTAACGAAGCTTCCACCAACAAATTAGTATTCTTGATTTTCGTCTTATTTTGGCCTCTACTATCGCTCATTAAAATTTTTGCTAGAGGTGGCCGAACACCCTGTATATGTAATTGGCGTAAGATGTTTTGGAGTCATTTCATTTAATAAATGCAATTGATTATTTATTTGTAATTTTTCCTTTAATTTGTAATCAGCAACCTCGATAGTAACTATGTATCAAATTTCAGGTGATTCCGACATTTCGTCGAGCCGAGGAAGAAACTCCGGACACTTCGACACTCATCGCCGAAAAGTCAAAACAAACGGTTCGAAATCTTCAGTTCAATCGTCTCGTGAACAACTCTTGATTCGTTCTTGAAGAAAACGTAACAGTTCAATCGTTTCGTGAACAACTCGTTACTCGTTCTTCGAAGAAAACACTCGTCATTCGAACCTCGAAGAAGTAGCAGTCAAACAAGTGTTCAATCGTCTTGTGAAACACGCGTCGTTAAAAATTAGAAGCAATCACAGAAAACAGCTTACGGCACAATAAAACTAGTCGCTCAATATTACTTTGGCGAGCGACGGTCTAGTAGCCCGCGTACCACGACTTGCGTATCGCGTACCAAGAGGGCCTTACAACCCCTCAGGGTTTTAAAAGAAAATGCACGCGGCTACCTGGCCAGTATCGCCGCGACGGTACGTTTCATGGTCCTTCGAGCCGGATAGTGACGTGTGGTGAAACAGTGCACATCGAAACCTGTAATCCACGAAGCTATCCAACCACCGCACGAGAGGAGGCCTTTTCGAGCAAGGCCATCCCAAAGCAACGAGATCCGGAATCGGTGCAGCCAACCTACGAAACGAGGACGACTCCAGGGAAGGACAGCGGCGATCATCTACAGGACAGCGCTGTCCAGACGGATTCGAGACGACCCACAGTGGTCCCAAATCGTGAAAACGTGGCCAAAACCCCAAAAAATAATTTTTCGTTATGGAGGTTTTACCTGTTGGAATCGGCAGTTTAAGGATGTCTTTTTAGGGTAGGGAAAATGAAATGAGTCATATTTTTATACCTGGATGGCAATTGCGATCCAAACTTTGGCTTCGTTAGTCAGTCGTTTGTCGAGAGCGTAAGCGTCAGTGCATACCGTAAAGTGAAAAGTGTACAAGTTTTTTTAGAAGACATCAATTTCAATTCTGCAAAATGGATGCTGTTCCTGGAAGTATGTAGAACATTTCTGAGTACTAACATATTAAAAATTGTTATCCATTAATTTTTTAAACCGGTACATTCATTACTGAAAATAAAATGTAAAATTTCATGCATGCATCGCAAACAAGTAGGCAAAAAGTTGCTTATTCCACAATATCACACTGCCATATCTGTTCAGGCTTGTATGTGATACTTTCACCTTGCAGAATTTGCAAGAATTAGCTGCAAGTTTTTGCAAGTAAAGTCGTACCACCCTATTTTATAATGGAGGGTGACCGCGTTACTAAATCACGCGGTTTTTTCTTGGAAACTGTGGCAGATACAACAAATTTTTTAAAATAAATAATGTATAATTTTGGGTGGACTTATTATTAGATTTAATAAATTTTTAAATTAATGCATAAATAATTTTTCATTATTAAATATTGTATATTTTTCAATGAACCAGTTGATCTACTTCATTATTGACTATAAATCTGCATTAAACTATTTACATGAAAAATTGTTTATTTCGAAAATAGTTAATAAAATTTGAGAATTCCAAACTAAAACATTTTTTCGCATTTGCCATGTAAAAGCACTAAGAATCAAATAATATGAAGGCACTGCTGTAAGCTGTAAATTGTGCCTTATACCTGCCTGACTTTATGACAGACATAAAACATTTGTGCGGTATTGCCTTTCGTTTTCTCTTCCTTTCGTTTTCATTTAGATTTTTTACTTATACAGGGTATTCGGCCACGCCTGGGAAAAATTTTAATGGGAGATTCTAGAGGTCAAAATAAGACGAAAATCAAGAGTATCAATTTCTTCACTGAGGTTTCGTTAAAAAGTTATTAACAATTAAATTCAAAAATTTCAAATCGTTCTGGAAAAATTATTTTCGGTTGCGGGGGTTAACTACAATCATTTTTGGTGAGTACACATACCTCCGAAATCCTATCTACTTTCGAGAAAAAAAATCGAGTAGGTGCTGAAATTTTTCGGCGAAAACAAATTTTTCAAATCGTTTTAAAAAAATTATTTTCGGTTGCGGGGATCAATTACAATCATTTTTTATCATTACACATACCTCCGAAATCGTACGCACTTTCGAGAAAAAAATTCCTTACTGAAAATCCAATTAGGTGCCTAAATTTTTCAACGGAGAAAAAAAATTGCAAATCGTTGTGGAAAAATTATTTTCGGTTGCGGGGGGTCAATTACAATCAGTTTTTGTCATTAGACATACCCACGAAATCCTGCCCACTTTCGAGAAAAAAAATAGAGAAGGTGTGAAATTATTCGAGAAAATTAAAAAATTGCAAATCGTTGTGGAAAAATTATTTTCGGTTGTAGGGTTCAATTGCAGTCATTTTTGGTGAATAGACATACCCCCGAAATCTTGCGCATTTTCGAGAAAAAAATTCAGTAAGAGCGGCACTTTAAATTTCTTAATTATGACTTTTGATTCGTAATCAGCAACCTCGATAGTAACTATGTATCAAATTTCAGGTAATTCCGACATTTCTTTCGCATATGTGTGAGCTATATCGGAGCCGCCATTTTGTTTTTTTTAATTATGACTTTTGATTCGTAATCAGCAACCTCGATAGTAACTATGTATCAAATTTCAGGTGATTCCGACATTTCTTTCGCATATGTGTGAGCTATATCGGAGCCGCCATTTTGTTTTTTGTAATTATGACTTTTGATTCGTAATCAGCGACCTCGATAACCCCTACCTACAAATTTTTAGCTAAATTGAAGAACTCCTTCATATTATGGCCAACTTTTCGGCATTTGGGACCACTGTGCGACCCCTGGACGGACTGCGAATGGTAGGCTCGTTCGGTATAACAATTGCCAATTAACACGGGTTCAATTTCCTCTCTTTACCGATCCTTACTTCGAATAAGACATATCTCTGAAAAAAGACACGAACGCGAGCATATCCGACAACCACGATATCCGAATACGCGAGTTGAAAAATAAACGGCGCACATTCAAGAGCCAAATGACAATGTTCGGGCATTACTTGGACTTTTTCAAAGACAGCGAGACGGAACGCGTAAAATTGTCCGAACGACTTATGCGCATTCGCGGACAGTTCGAAACCTTCAATCGAGTCCAAGACGAGCTGGGCAACATTGACAATTATGAAGAAGTCGAAATTGAGAGAAACGCCGCGACCGACATCTACGATAACGCAATTTCAAGAGCAACCGTGATGCTCAATTGACTTGCGAGCGCCGCGGTTTCTTCAAAGGCGGGAGAAAATTCGAGTCCCGCGAATTGCAGCAATGGAAGCTGCAATCCACGTCGTTGTGCTCACTGCCGGTACATTTGCCAAAGATGAGCCTACCGAAATTCAACGAACGAATCAAATCATGGCTCACGTTCAAGGACGCGTTTAATAATCTCATCCATTTGCAACCGGGGCTAAGTAAAATACAAAAATTGCAATACCTACAGCTGTCGTTATCCGGAAAGGCTGAAGCGACGATCAGCGCTTTCACGATTTCAAACGAAAACTACGAAGCGGCGTGGACCCACTTAAGCGAAATGTACGATAACCGACGCGCACTGGTACTACGTCACGCGGCCCTGGTCCACGATTCACCAGCAATGCCCGATCACAGGTCCGACTCGATACACGACCTAGTGAATCACGTACAATTGCACATTCGATCCCTGCAAGCCCTCGGTCGTTCACGGGAAAACATCGCGCAAGATTTAATTACTAGCATCATTGTCTCGAAGATGGACGACGAAACCAAAAGAAATTGGGAACGCACGCTCTCCGACACCCAAATTCCCAAACTCGATGAGGTAATTAAATTCATGCACAACGCGACACATCAGAAGGAACAATTCGAAACGACAAATCGCGCAACGCAAAATACATATCGAAACGCGATTTCGTCGCCGATTCAATCGCGACCGTACAATCTTCGCCCGCGTTCTCCGAAGGCACAGTATCAGAAGATAAAGACGTACGATATGAAAACGTCGACACAGGAACCACCGCACGCGAATTTCGATCAGCGCGAAAATTATCCGAAACGTCAACCGCCGTCACCGCGTCCGCAACGAAGAACGTCGACCGCCGGTTTATCGTGCAACATCTGCAATTCGGAAGGACACGCAGAATATTTCTGCAGACGGTTCTTCGAGATATCGGTCATCTATCGAATCGACGCTGCGCGTAAGGCCGATCTTTACACGAATTGCTTACGTCCAGGTCACAGAAGCGAGGATTGCCGCGGTGGCACATGCCAAGTGTGCAATCAGCGGCACAACACAAAATTATACCAAGACGAAAAATACCCTGGATCGACGGAATCAAAACAGTGACAAACACGGAACGCCGCGAAGCAAAACGGGAAGGGGTCACCGGTCGCCGCATCATCCACCGATCTCCCAGCGCACGGCCTCTTAGCAACGGCAATGGTCGAAGTATACGACAGGGAGCGCAGAGCAATCGAGACAACTCTTGCGATGAGCTCAGTTAATTTGCACTGTTCACACGCGAGGAGACGAACTAGTATGGGCGTAAATCACACTAGGGAAATCGCTGCTACTGACTTTGGCGATTGCGCAATCGTGCCCACACACCACGACAAGGTATCAGCTATAATGGGGGGTACGACACCCGAAGGAGAAGGTGCAAATTCGAATCGAGATGTCAACCAAAGCGAGCTTGCGGCTGTGGCCGCAACAGCAAGTGTTCGTAGTGTTCTCGTCGAATCAAATATTCATTTTTCGTTTGAATCATTTAACACTAGATCTACCAAGGAGGTCAAAATGACTTGTTTGGGATTTCTTATACTTATTATTCATTTCCAACCCATTTTGTTTCCTAAAATTTTGAATGACTTTTTCTAAAATATGCAAAGAATTAATTCTGTAAAGCAGTTTTCTTTTTTTTTGTCTTTTTGATATCAAATTTTATGCAGTATACCTCCATTAGGGCGGTCCTTATTTTTCGACCATAAAATTTTTTGCATGCCGCCCCCTAAATTTTTTCCATTTCATGAAGAAATAATTTGCGCAAAATTTGAGATCGATTGAAGGTCGGGAAGACGTGGCACATCGCATGCGAAGTTTTGAAATAGAAGTAACCGCGCGCTAAGCGTAAGGAGTGGCGTGTTTCTGAAAATTTCAATGAAATATTTCATATTTTGAGGACTATAACATAATTCTTTACTTATTTAGATATTGTTCTGTTCGTACCTGCATTAAAACCCAAGTTCCATTTGTACAATATAAGACTAACAGTATTGTCTCTCTATAGCCGCGCGTGTCAGGACCGGGCGCACGCAACTTGAGAGACGAGTGGTCTATTCGGCTTTCTTTGATTTCACGCTCGAACGCTCAAGGCGGATGGGGCAGCGAGAACTGGATTTTTTGCTCGTCGCTCGGCGGAACCGATTTTTGGAAGGACAGAATGTGATATTCCCTCTCACGCGTATTCGGTACATGTAGACGCGTGTGTTGTGTTGTGTGTGTTACGGGCGCGGGTGCACATCGTGTAATACACACATTTTTTTTATATCTTTGTGTTTATCTGGTGCGTGAGTGAATTGACGTGTCAGTGGTAATGGCTGCCAACAAAACTGACAAAAAGATAATCTTTTTGTCTCTGAAACAAAAAACTGACATTTTAGAAAATTTAGAATTTGGTGCTTCGGTTAAATTTTTGGCCCAAGAATATGGTGTTCATAAGAGCACAGTTCGGAGAATTCGTAGGGAAGGAACGAATATCCGTAATTTTGCAGATCAGGGGTCCCAAATATTACAATGGAAAAACCGGAGGAAACCAAAACATGACGACCTTGATAGCAGTTTGTATAAGTGGTTCCTTGAAAGACGAACGTTAGGAGATCCACTGTCGGACCTCCTGCTTCAGGAAAAGGCAATGGAGCTTTACAACGTAATTGGTGGAACGTCGTCGTTTACGGCAAGTAGAGGCTGGCTAACGAAATTTAAAAGACAGCACAACATTCGTCTACTTCATGTGCATGGAGAAGCAGGAAGTGCAGATGAGGAAGGTGCACAACGTTTTTTAATTAACTTTGCGAAGAAAGTAGAGGAAGAAGGCATCGAGGGACACAATATTTACAACATGGACGAAAGTGGTTTAATGTGGAAGGCTGTTCCTTCGAAAACTTTGGTCCATGGTGAAGAACAGAAAATTGAAGGCAAAAAAATGGAAAAAGACCGCGTCACTATTGGCTTCTGTGCTAATGCGACTGGACCATACAAATTGCCACTTCTATTTGTTTATAAATATCAGAATCCGAGAGCCTTAAAAAATTGTGGCACGTTGCCAGTAGTCTATACGTTCCAAAAGCAGGCTTGGGTCAATAGACAAATTTTTGCAGACTGGTATGAGAACCACTTTAAATCAAGTGTCAAACAGCATCAATTGGAGAATAAATATCAAGGGAAGACAATTTTGCTGGTTGATAATTGTCAAGGCCACATAATTGAAACAGACGATGAAGAGGAACAGTTTGAAATTATTTTTCTGCCTCCAAATACTACATCAATTATACAACCGATGGATCAAGGGATTATTGCAAAATTAAAAAAACGTTACAGACACAAAATGTTGCGCCACGTATTGACATTTCCGGGTCGACTTAATAAATTCTATTCTAGATTCACAATAAAGGATTGCATATTTTTAGTTCGCGATGCCTGCGAAGATGTCACCAGCAATGATATTAGGAATGGCTGGAACAAAATTTTTACAAAAGACTCTGAGAATTCTTCGGAAGATGTATTGAACACGACAATAGATTCGTAAATAAGCGAACTAATCCAAACAATAAATGGCGAACCAATTAATCAGAAACTGTTAAACGACTTCTTTTTATTATTGGATCAAGTGGAAAACATGGATATTACGGAACAAGAAGGGGAAGCAGACATAGAAGAAGAAATAGAAGGAGGAGACGAACGGCATGAAGAAGAAGAGAAAGAAGAGCAGCACCGAGAAGAAGAAGCAGTAACGGAGTTAGAAACTTCACAAGAGTTACCGATTGATCAAGCCACGAAAAGCCTTGAAGAACGAAAACTGAGGGAGTTACATTGGATAGACACCCTCATTAAGAACTGGGGCAATAATAAACCCCATGTACAAATAATGGGCGAGGCATTCAAAAAAATATTGGAGGCAGAAGCCTTGCCAGAAAATTAAATACTTTGAGAATGGTATATGTGTAAACAAATTTGCAGTAAGAATAAATAGTGCGCACTAATTTAATTCATCATTAACGATGAAATTAAATTTCAACCGTTTTACAGGACACCAACTTCACCAACGTGGTGACCAATCGTGAGTCGTTGAAGCCTTCTTCCAAAAACCACTAATCATTAGAAAAAGGTAAGTTACATATGTGCACTTAACCTTCCAGCGAGCGCGCTGTCGTAAAATTTACGACAGAAGTGCCTAATCGCTTTCCTCACTTTTACTACTTAGTCGCGAGTATTGAGCTCTCAGCTTTCGACTGTCAGTATGTTCAGGGTCGGTATAGCGAGCGGGTTTATGATACGGACGTGATTTCTCCGCTATTTTTGAGGATTAGGCTTTCAAGACATTTTTACTTGATAAATTAGAATACGGTCATTAAGGAACCTCCAAACTCTATACGGGACTTGGAATCCTGGGAGTTCTTCCTTGCCTCAATAGCGATTGACGTATCGTAAACCCGCGTTGGCGCACAGCTGCGGACCACCGGGGTCTTGCAGTCGTTGGGCATTTCCCAAAAAGTTAATAATAATGCAGCGTTCTCGCTCACTCCTGCATGGTCTACCTGGACACTGGACGGCAGGGTGGGCGGGAATGCTGCAAATTGTTAGAAACCGCCCTGCCAAGGTGACGACGATGAGGATTGGCTTGACCAATCCTCCCTCCGGTAGGCAATGTTCGTCGTTGTCACCTTGGCAGGGGAAACCGAGGTTTCACTATGGGGAAATTCAGGACGGAGGAGCAGATTAATTTCGACAAGTAACATCGTCAATAGTTAGTATCGAATATTTGTTCGTGGCCGAAACACAGTATCTCAAAGATTACAGACGTATCGCGTGCGCGCACAAGTGTTTGCTATCCGAGAAATTTTCGTTGAACGTAAATTTTACGACACGCGCCTTCAAGTGTAAGTATATGAAATAAACTACTTTTTTCTGATTTCTTCCTCATTTATATCGTTTCTTTTATAGCTCAAGGTATTTTTTCATTTCAGACGTACCCCATTATGGCTTGTAGGCCGCTTACACAAAATGAGCGAGAAAAAATCGCTCAAGATTTATTCGATGAGCCAGAACAAGATGATGAGACTTACTTTCCCTCGAGTGACAGCGAGTTTTCGGAAGAAGAAATCGAGCAACAAACTGAACAGAGTGCTACCGAACAAGGAAACACTTCAGACGAATCTGAAGAGGACCATGAAGAAACCATGGAAGAATTTTTCATTGGAAAAAATAAATCTACAAAATGGCGTAAGACAACATACCGTGTGTCTGGAAAAACTAAGGGGATAAACGTAGTCACGGTACCCATGGGTCTGACTCATCGAGCACGTGGTATTGAAAATGAATTGGATGCGTTTTTCCAAATTATCGACATTTCTATGATTGACGACATTTTGAAGCACACAAATATGCATATCGATCAGCTTAGACTTGATCACCAATACTCTAGAGATCGGGACTGTAAAAACATCGACAGGTATGAATTTATGGCATACTTGGGTCTACTATATTTGATCGGTATAAAAAAATCTCACCACGCAAATGTGAAAGAGATCTTTTCCAGTGACGGTACCGGAATTCAAATAACAAGAGCTGTCATGAGTTACAAGAGATTTCTCTTCACCACCCGCTGCCTGAGATTCGATGACAAGAATACCAGAATCGAAAGGAAGAAAGTTGACAAACTGGCAGCAATACGTGACTTCTTCCAAGCTTTCGTCAACAACTGCAAGTTATCATTCAACTTGAGCGAATATATTACAATCGATGAGATGCTGCATCCATTTAGGGGTCGTTGTAGCTTCATCCAATATATTCCTAGTAAACCAGCGAAATACGGGCTGAAGATTTTTGCGTTATGTGATGCCAAAAGTTTTTACACATCCGTTCTAGAAATATATTGCGGAAAACAACCCGATGGACCACTTGCGGCCTCTAATACCCCAACAGATATTGTAAAGCGGCTAGTCACTCCGATAGAAAACTCAAAGCGGAATTTGACTATCGATAATTGGTACACAAGTGTACCACTCGCTGATTATTTGCTTACAAAAAAAATAACGGTTTTGGGCACAATGAGGAAAAACAAATTTGAAATCCCAAAACAATTCTTGCCAGACAAAAGCAGGACTGTTGAATCCACTCTTTTTGGTTTCCAAAAGGACAAAATGTTAGTGTCCTATGTACCTCGGAAAAATAAATCTGTAATATTGCTCTCAACATTACATGACGACAACGAAATGGATCCCGACACCAAAAAGCCTCAGGTTATACTGGACTACAACGAAACCAATGGCGGAGTGGATACTGTTGTAGCGACTTCGTCGCCACTACGCCTCTGCCGAAAAACCGTATTATATTGTAGGGGCTTGTACGAGCCCGGTCAGGGTCGATGGGCGCACATGGCGACCACCGGTGCGAGCCCGGGGTTTTCCGGCGGTCAGGAGGAGTCATCGGCGTTGGCCACGCGGCCGAAACACTTTTCCCGCCGAATTTGGCGTCGGTTTTGTGCGAAACAGGCATACGCGCTGTCCTTGTCCTAGACCGGGTATAAAACCCCGGCAGGACAGAGGGCAAGGAAGCGATCACCGACCGCTGGAGTGAGCAGTCGTTGCAAAGAATATCCAGAACCAAAGCGAGCGCTAACGAAAGACCTAGCAACCAAACAGCAAACAAACCGAGTGGGCGGAGGAGCCGGCAAGCAGCCCCCACTGATCAACTTACTGAAGGACCAAAAAACCTTACGCATCACACGACCTGAGCGCAAAGAAGGGACCAGGCCCACGCTGGCCGACAAAATTAAACACACGCACCGTCTGGCCAACAGGCAGGATGGCGAACCATACACGCCAACTATAAGAAGGAGAACCCTGTCGTTATCCGACTCAAAAAGAACTACATCCCCGGCTGAATCAACAATGGCCGATCAAAGGACAAGCGTGGACGGTTTCACGCTACCACGCCCAAAGAACACCGTGAAGGAGACGGCCATTGCTGCCACTTCAGCCGCCATCGTTCCACCCCCCGTCGTGACCAGGAACAGGTATGGAGCCCTCGCCGACATCTTTGCCGCAGAAGACCCCAGCCCCAGCTGCTCCACCACCATCGCCGCCAGCACCACCAAGCCCCCCAGCATTCAGGTTTCTGCTCCACTAAATCAAACAAACTCAACTCCTGGTAAGCCTCCACCAATATTCATACACTCCACCATTGTAAACCATTCTGGCCTGTGTAAACTTCTCGAGGATACAGCCAAAGAAAAATTCGAGGTTAAGTAACTCAAAAACCAGATGAAAATCACCACGACCACCACCTCCGACTTCCAGGCAATCAGATCCATCCTAACCTCCAATAACATACAGCTACACACATACACCCTCTCCAACGAAAAAAACTATGGCAGTCGTCCTCAAAGGCCTACCCAAGCTCCCCCCGGCCCAAATAATCCAAGAGATTCAAGCCAAAGGCCTCAACCCTCTCTCCTGCACGGAGCTCAAGAGGAAAGAAACTAGCTACCTGGCAACCTACAAATTAGTCTTCTCTAAGGGCACCACCCTTCAGCAAATAAACCAAGTCAGGTCCCTAGGGCACACCCGCGCCTACTGGGAAAAATACAATAGTTCCAGACCCTACATTCAATGCTACCGTTGCCAAGCCTTCGGACACTCTTCAGTCAATTGCACAAAGAACCCCGCCTGCGTAAAGTGTGCAGGACCCCATCACACTAAGGACTGCGTCAAACCCCCAACCACCCCAGCCACCTGCTGCAACTGCAAGGGCGTCCACCCGGCAAATTACAGCCAGTGTCCCTCCCTTCTAAACTTCCTACAGAAGAGAGCCGCTAAAACCCACCCACTCAAAGCTTCCCAAATTACCCCCACAATAGCCAGCCTCCCTACCCCACCCGCAATCCTCCTCCAACCAACCAAGCCATCCCAAGCTCCAATAAACCAGAGAACGTACGCCAACGTAACCGCGAACTCCACTCCCAAACCGAAAAACCCAAATCAGCCTGACCTCACCAACCTCTTCTCCAAGGCGCAAGCCATTAATGAACTATTAGACATCTCCAGCATGGGAGCCGCCTTAGACTTCCTATATAGTAAACTAGTAACATGCCAAACAAAAGTTCAGAAACTCCAAGCCTTCTTAGAAGCCGCCGAGCTTATAAATGGCTAATCCAAAATAATCCTATGGAACACCACCAGCATCCTCAACAAAATCCCAGAACTCCAACTCTTCCTTGAACATCACCAAATCCAAATAGCCCTCATCTCAGAAACCTGGCTAAAGCCAGCTGATTCCATCCGACTCACCAGATATAACATCATCCGAAACGACCGCCCAACCCCAAAAGGAGGAGTAGCTATCATAATACACCAGAGCCTAAAATTCGATCCACTCCCACTGCCGTTCCTGGACAACGTAGAAGCCACATTCATACAACTCTCCAATAACCCTAAAACCATCATAGGCGCAGCCTACCTACCTCCCAGCAAACGCTTCACACAGCAAGACCTCAATACATTAACCACACACAATCATAAATTCATA